CTAGCGGGAGAACTCTCTTTCTCTCTGGGGATGAACTAAATAAGGAAAGCCCTCGAGTTATCTTACGATAATCCCTCGTGGCACATTTAATAAGCGGTATATTGGCCCGTAGATCTTGTACAAGTGCAATTCCTGAAGATTAGCGAAGCATAAACTTGACAATTACACTCACGGAACATGTCTGCCACGTCAAGAAAGGCAACGTCAATAAAACAAATTCAGATCTTCCAAATTCATCAATTTGTTTTACAAACAGATAATGTCTAGAAAATCCTGGGATGAGATTACTAATCAGCGCCATCTTTTGCTTGGTCAAATGAAAATGTTTCAGGAAAGTTACATGCACATAAGTTGGTTTGTTGTCATGGTAATAAAGCTATTATTCAGACCATGCTCTGATGAATATAGGGACAACTCTACTGATATGTACATACTATTTAATGAAATTAAATGGAAACAAAGCAGTAACATGCATAATGTCAACACCTGGCATTTGTTACAGACGCTGTATTCCGATCCCCCAACACTAACTGGCGATATGTCTCGCTTCTTCCAGTAGACCCTGGATCCTGGTCAAACAAAGGCAAGGAAGATTTGTTCCCAGAGTGCACAATCGATATTCTGTACCATATATGGAGATGTCGTGATCCCGGCAAAATTCGAATTCAAAGAGCCGCCATTTTGTTCACTTCAACAGCTGAATCGTGAATTTTGGTCTTATTTCTAAACGAAAAAGTCCAAAACTCAAAAGAAATGATCGAGATATTGGTTCGAATCTTTTGGACTGTATATCTTGAATTTATAGTCAGTTATAAAATTCAGAAAATTTCGACTTTTCATTGTTGGAAAATATCAAGTTTCGATCCTGGGAGCCAAGCCAAACTAAAGTGTGCAGAGAGACAATCGATCAACCTGGACAAGACTGTTTCCTTCCAGTAATTCCCCTTCTAAACAAACGAGCAGAAAGTCATTTGTTATGCTTAATCCTTTTAAAAAGACACTAAAGATTATAATCGCATCAGTAGATCCTCACTGGATGAACAACTACATGGACGTTCTGAGGAAAGTGTTGTTTAATACACAAAAAGAACATTTGAGAATGATTGGGTATTTTGACTATTTTCCACTCTTCGTGAAAAATGAGCCATTTTTATCTATCTACTTCCCATCAAAGGGCCTGTCTCTCTACTTTGAGTCCCTAAACCAAGTGACGTGGAAAAGCAATTTCATAATGCACCGTCGCAATAAAATTCATGCATTAATTTTGTACTTCCCTACAGCTAAACATAAATCTTCTAAAGCAAAAACGCTTGTGGTTTATATGAAATATAATATCCAATACACATTTCAGTCCAAACTGGCGAAACCGCGAGAGTTTCAAATATAGCCTATATGAGAAGCCATATTTTCTGGTGCAATCATTGGTACAAATCCATTCGATATTGGAAAACAATCGGTTAAATTCATTTGTATTAGCAAAGAATGATTTGAATTTATTGGTTTAATTAGTGATTTTAAAAGGCAGCAACGACCTACATTTTGTAATAATGCCGAAACCTAGGCCTATTTAAGTATCTATTACAGGTCGTGTAGACCTGCGTTGCTTGATTTATGACGTTGACACGCTGGTGACGTTGCGCCTTGACGTTGCGCCAATAGATCTCATGCCTTAAAAGCGTATCACTTAAAAAATCATAGAACACCTACCCTTTGCATTCGTTTGACTTCACTTCTTAATAGAGAACTTCGTAGTTTAACTAGACTCTGCACGCAGGGTATAGAACACCTAACATATTCTACTATTCCGTGTGCAGATTCAAGGTGATTTTAATGGTAAACTTTCTCATAAAAATAGATCTTGTATTTTTATTGAATTTTTTTGCAAATATCGCCTCGATCCTCCCTCCCCCTTCCCTCATTTTTCCGATTTAAGGTCGTGTTGTTGAAGTACTTGTATTTTAGCATAAAAGAGTCCAAACTACAAGCAACATCAGATTTAAAAAATATTTGGGTTAAATGCATTTGTATTAGTCATTGGTTAATTATAAATGCATGTAAAGACAAACATTAGATTTGATAAGCAATTTTCAAATACTTATTTGTATTAGTCATTAGTTAAAAGCATTGATATAGGCAAACACTGGGTTGAAAATCATTGGAATTGATAAGCAATATGTTCAAATACATTTGTATTAGTCATTGGTTAAAAGCATTGGGTTGAAAATCATTGGAATTGACAAAAAATGCCCAAATAAATTTGTCACTAATTAAATGAATGGTGTGAATTCATTGATATTGCAAATAATTTGTGCAAACAATAGGTTAAACCATTGGAAATGAATTGACAAACAGTTTGTTCAATTGCTACAGCGATTATGTTGTTTCAATGTTGTTGCAATCTTTCAGTAACAAGATCAGAAAATTCCTAACAGTCCGTAAAATCATGTTTTAATAACCAAAACTGGCATGTCGAGAAATATAAGCGCCTCATAAATTATTATAATGATTGCATTATCTCACGCAAAATGTTGATTTAAATGGTAGTTATGTGTGATGTTACCACCGTTTTCAACACGTTTACTTTGCTTTGAAAGCTTACATCTGGATTTGTAGAAATTGTATTCCTCAATATCGAGGTCATGTAAATTGTAAAAGCCTATATATGCAGGCGATAAAATTGGATTGCAACTAACTGCATCGCATTTATTCATCATGAGAAATTACTTGCTGATCTCTTTTGTAAGCGTTGATTGGTGTAAAAATAGTGCACTTTGAATTAAACTAAAGACAAAAGTTGATGAAAAGGCGCCCAATGAGATGGAAAAGCGCTCAATTTCAACAGAAAGACGCCCTATTTTACCTGTTACTTGACGTGGCGTCGGTGGTAATGTTTTATGACATAAGTGTGGAAATACCTAGATTATATAGATCTAGAATATTGCATCATAGCCAGACGCAACATTTCTGTATCTACTTTTCGTAATTTCGTAAAGCAATTTAGCTTACCGCTGTCTTGGACTAATATCATCTAAGTAAACTATAATGTTAAGAGGGATCCGTTGATTTATCTCAAGTAAACCTGTCTAATAGGTAACATGCTTTATAGGCACCTATAGCACTTTTTGGACCAGGGGTATTTTCTTACTGCAATAAAACAATGACATAAAGACAACATAAAATATGAATATACTTGATTAGCTCATTTGTCCAAATATATCATTCGCGTAGAACTACTGGCCGGCAAAATATTAAACAGATCAATATGTGTTTCTTCTAGCCTGTTCTCTGACCCAAGACCCGGCTGTTCTCCAGGCCTTCATAACCCCCCCCCCCTCCATCCCCATTTCCAATTCCAAATCTCTTTCAAGGGCTCTTCCCTACCATCACTCTTCACTAATACTCGAATCCGAACACTGATGGTGTTAAAAGTAAGAACCTCTGGAAATTCTTTCCTGAATGCCTGCTCTTCAGTGAACTTCTATAATAACATACCGCGACTAGTTTCCAATCGAAAGATGTTGAGAAATAGAATTAGATACATCTTACTTTAAATTGTTGTACATGGTAGAATTCATGAGAGAGAAGCACGATAGATTATTGAGTTGTCGTAAATAAACAATCGACTGAGCTAGCTAGAGCTTCTTAACCTTCTGAAACAACGTACAATCTCAGAAAAAATTCACAGTTGATCCGCATGAGCATGATATGCGGAAACATGAATTATCTACACTGTAGGAATTCAGCCTGAATAAGTCTGCGAGATTGGAGCGCTCGGCACAAATTGGATCAACTCGATTACCAACAGGTGCTATTGGCAGAAACATTCGAAACAACTTCATCGCTTCCTGGTATTTTTCTCCAATATGTTTACATATCAATAGAATGAATATGGTCAGAGAAGCGTTTCTTTGAGAGTTATTGTATCCATACCTCGATATGGTTCGTCCGGAGCAATCGCATTGCCCGGGAATGAGACCAAACTCTTCATTGAAAGAGATACCCTTTCCAATTTCCAATAGTTGATTTTCCTTCTCATCTACATAATTTACTAGGCTCTGAGATTCAGTGTATATAAATTAGAAGCTCTGATCATATAAAATGACTCCAGTGTATATTATTTTGTTGCCCAAATACGAAATTCCTCGCAAGACATATATGGTTTAGATAATAGTTTTGATTTGCCTTTTTTAATTTTGTCATCATTTTGTTATAAAGGGCTTATAGCTGTAATTCTACTCTAGAATATTTCAAGGTATGTTACAAAATAATGATATAGTTTTGATTAAGTAAATTGCGAATAGGTGTATAGTTTGCTAGGATTACATCGGGAAATATAGCCTGATGTAACATGTCTTCTCTTGAATTAAGACGGGAGGGAAATACCTAAGAAATCCCTCAATATCCACTAATAGATTATTTAGTATATATTAACTTCATGAATTGTACAGGCCTTTATACTTACCGTGTATATGGCACCCCGAGGATAAGTGTCATTTAGCAGAAATGCCGTTTTATGGAATTGATGCTATTAATTCAATCAATTCTGATGGGCTTTAAAATAGCCAAATAAGCCAGGATTTTAAGATATTGTTGTCAAATATGGGTTTAGATAGACCCGAAAGAATATAACAAAGTACTAAACTAAAAGTGGATGCAAAGTATAAGGAGTTTTTAATGCTGGAAGCAACTACTAGAATAGTATATATTTCAATGAACACGTCAGTTGAGTGTCCCTCTTTATCATCCAAATAAAGCTTTGAAACATATATTGACCAAATTGAAGTAACTGGAGAATGTACAAAATTCATGTTTGAAATAGATGTAGTTTCTCATTAAAGTCTTTCCTTCGCCAGTTTACTTCCCTTCAATCACGCAGTTGTACAGTAAAACATGTAAAAATGGAACGCCTCTCTAAGTGGAATAGTACAGTTCCATAAGTGGAACGCTTTTCAAATCCTGCAGCATATTAACTTATTGTTAAATGAACCTATATGGGGAACACCTCCCAGGTAGAACACTTTTAGTGGTACCAAATGTGTTCCATTTATAGGGGTTTTACTGTATTTGTTTTGATGAAATCAAAATGTTCTATAAAATTCAAAAAAGGTAATTGAAAGCTTATCTGTACCATTTTGCGCAATAAAAATTGCAGATACCATCTAGTATATCTTAATAAGCTAATACAAGTAAGCAATGGTTTTAATGCAAACTCCGTATATAATTTAAAATTGTCTCTACCTCATGACTGAAAACTGTTTTGTATATAATCTCTTGTGAAGTGTATGTTTTAAAAAGCATATTTGTACTTACCTTCGCTTTGCTAAGAAGAAATAAAGAGTATTCAACACTTTGCAAAAATTTACAAAACAATACAACAATACAATACAATGCAATATAATGTATACATTTCCGACATAGCGTTATGTAAAAAATCAAGTGAACACCATTTAGTACTTTACTTATCGTGCCTAAATAATATATGACCATATTAATGCACGGTAATTAATGCACGGTGATTTATTAACTTGGCCTCCATGAGAAACCATTCTAACAAAGATTGCATTCTTGTAATTAAATATGTTAATTCATTGCTTACACGATATCCATAAACTGAATTCTCCTAATTGTACACTGAGAAATTATTGATCCATCGCATCGCCTTAATATAATCGCAATTTAGATTTAGGGAAAACATGGTTAGTAAGGTAAAAATGTAATTATTCTCTCTTACAAGCAAGCATGGTTCGGATGAAGGGATCGGGCTGTACCCGGGCTATGTATTGATCGATTGCACTAGAAGCTCGCCCCCCCCCCCTTTCGACAGTTGCCTCAAATCCGCATCCAGCTGGTATTATGTTAGTTAAGTTTGTAAACACCAGCAATAAATTACAGAGACGATAACATACACATATGCAAGATAGTATGTAGCATACTACCTGTCTTCACCTGCTACTATTTGTATCGACTATGTTTGCCATAATACACTGGAAATGAACAATCCACGGGCACGAGTTCCAATTTTATTCTTATTTCGGGTCCCAAAATGTACCATATTGCAACTTATTTTCAATAATAGGGAGGTTAAGCTACACGTTTTTAAGAGCGGAATCTGTCCGTGAACGTGAGCGTGAGTGTCGATCCCCGGGGATTACTGTCCCGCTCTCAATTCACTTTTCCAGGGACCTAATTACAATTATATTCTGTATACCTTTATACTCAATCGCCCAAGTAATACTGCAAATGGGAGAACTAATCCAGGGGAACATAGTTCTACACGTTCGCGTTCAAGATTTTTTCTAAAAAACGTGTAGCTTAACCACACTATTGTCCCTCTTTCAATTTTCATGTTAACTTCAAGATCCGCCCTTGCAACTCACTAATCAATCACCAAGTATGAATTAATCAAACGAGCATGATAAAAGGTCAACACCACGAGCTTTCAATTTATTTCTAATTGCTACAAATATGAGCACTTGCCAAATTTAATGGGTCCTAAAAATATACTTTTACTGTTTTACAAATGAATCCCATTTTGAATTCATTACCAGGTTATACTGGTAAAAACAAGTGACATCCGCGCTGATGAGGTACATGTATTTTTGTTCAGGAGTAATTACGTTTTCTCAGAGGATAATAAAGTCGATTGGACTTACTGTCAATACCAGTTGCTCTGGTAAGTGGCTGATATAAAATGAATTTCATTGGTCTGGGCAAACCATGTAACTAAGTAAACAATGTGACTTGGCAACGCATTCTCAAAGAAATCGGGCTCATCTACTCTGCAGTTGGCGGATCATGCGGATTGATTTTGATGAGTTCATGACCCATTTAACTCCGAGGTCCAATACAAGGTTAGATAGGCCTTTGCCCCCTAGAGCCAGTCCGTTTATAACTTAAAGTATGATGGTAAATTTGGGAGTGTTATCTCGACATTGAATCAATACGCACTCGAATGCCTTGTAATCGTCACTGATTGAAATAGTGCGCAATACGATTTTGTAATCCGTCGAGATATGACGAATGGCATGGGAGATGGATTTGTGCTCTTGGTGAATGGCGTCAACAGACAATACACTTTAATCTGACAATTCTTGCTAATGCATCATGGTATACCATGGCATTTTCAATCTGAAAATGTTGGAATAGTATTTCCATTGTATGAAAGGAGATACAGTGAGTAGGGGATGACCTAGTGTGTCACGGTGATATAATGGGACTCAGAATTAACATTGCAATAGTCTCCATTTTTTAAAATCTCCATCCCAATTTGTCCTTTTCATTCCCGGTCGACGGGAGTTCAAGCTTTTGTTAGAAAAAAACGAGACTGATTGTCTTTAGTATTTACCGGAACCACGTTTACCTATACCTAACGAAGATTAATCTTAAGCCCTTCGATTATGAATGATGACTTGCTTCTGTTTTACAAAAACTACAAGCGATGAGACAATTGAGGTTTGAGATATATTAGAGTTATCTGGCACACTTTAATTAACTCTGATTCAACCCGTTAATATCCCAGGACGACGCAACAATACTCTCTTCGATCAAACATATCAGGCCAATGCTCAACGTTATTGACATTTTTGTAGTCTGTATCATCTCAATAATTCTCCAATTCACCCCAGGTTTACATAAATACTATCGCGCTATCTTCACGGAATTCACATTCCCAGGCAAATCTAACATATCAATCTAATAAATTCTGATATAGCGTATTTGACCTGCTGCCAAATCAGTAATTCTTGATTTTGCTAAATCGTTTTTCATCTTTCTTTATGAGTTTCTGTCAGAAGAAGGAGTACCAATCATGATACGAGGTACCAAGATGCAAAATGTCTCACTACTTGTCATTTGTTACAGACTCCGAACGCCGACCGCCAAGCACCGTCCACAAAAATGGAGACTGTAATAATATTCTGGTGTTGGTAAAACAAGAGAGGCATAGAAGGAATGGAGAATATTAAATGATGTCAATTTTTCCAAAACACCCCAAAGTTTCCCAAAAAGTCCATTTTGGACCTAAAAATGATTAGAAATTGAAGCAAAAATTGTCCATCTTAAGAGAAAAGGGGAAGTACATTTCCACCCAAGGTTTCTTGTACACTGTGATATGTAACCCTACGAATCGTATAATCTATTATTTTACAAGTATTTATAAAAGTATACGTTTTCTTACCAAATCCTGGAGCAACTATATTAAGTATAAAACAGAGGACTGCTAACGGAAGAGGCATAATGGGAATAGCGTTGTGAAAAGGCGTATGTTTTTCATCACTTGTTACAACAACGGAGGGCTGGCGTTTAGCGCTTCCTCCAGATGTGCGACTGACTCTGCTTGGCCTTTTCGGACGCGCTGTCGTATCATCCTCCTTAATCTCTAAAATGTTAGCGTGGTGGTCATCCTGTTTGCTCTCATCAATTGCTATTGCAATCGTATCAGGGGAGTCCGTGACCTTAAGCCCATTCTGGGTTTCAATTTGTCCTTGGGGGCTAGGCTCACCCGCATTTTCAAATGTGACAGCACCTTTAACTAACGGTTGATTCTCGTTTACCTCAATCTCAAGCTGCGCATCATCTACATCACGAGAGACTACTCCGTTTGTATTAGCTCCAATATCTGATGGCTCCTTAGTAGATTTTTCATTAGTAGTATCTTTTACATCAGATGACGTGTCATTAATGTCATCATCATGCGTATCCATTAAACAGGTATTCTCCTGTGGCGATTCGGGACTGGGAGTAGAGATCTCAATCGTGGGTGGCGGGGGCCTTTGCCCATCTGAGTCCTCCATTTCTGGCCGTAGCCGCGTCGTACGACTGAATGTAAACAAACGTTAGTTTTCAATCCAGTTCGTTCAGGCTTACACAGTCGGCTAGTTAATCAGAGAATTAGTAAGATCTATCGCTTTCTCCAGTAATGTACATTGACTTGATATCCTTGATATTGGCGCAGTTTGATTCAGATGCAAAATAAATCGCTGGCAAAGACTCCGCTATGGAAGTGAATTTAATAGCTCCGAGCTGCGAATTTATCTACTGTTCTATCGCGCATGAATACTAATGCAGTTTCACTTGTTCCTAACATTACTTTAGCCCCATATTTCATAATGATCCAACTGTACGAGGCAAAATGTAATTGTAATTTGTGACTTCTCGGTGAATGTACTCGTATACTCTGAACTTTCGTTTGCAGATACGATTAGTACTTGATGCAAAAGCTACCGTGATTATTTAGTAACTAGAAACTGAAATGATTCTCAGTGTAAATAGATCCAAGGTAGGGTTCGCAAAACTCATCAAATATTTTTTCACCCCCAGGTATTTCTTCACGAACGTGTTTAACCTCATAGTTAAGAGACTGTTTTATGTAGTAACGATGGTAGTAAATCCATCCATCCCAGATTCGGTTTCAAAACAATCTATAGATTCCAGTGAATTAAAGAAATCGGCATTTTCGCCCTTTAACGAAAAAAGTTTTTGGATATAAGTCTTCACGTAGAATACTCAAACGATGAATCGATCTTGGGGTTTACTTTGTAATTTGCTGGATCATTATGACATTGTTTTAATATATAGATTTAAACTGATAAAACTAGAGGAGACGGTGACCTCGACCTTTATGTAATATGGAAATGATCTCAGTTTTCCCGGAATTGTATCATTATCTAAGAAATATATTCGCAACGCTTTAATAAACTTGCATATAAATGTTGATTTTTGTCATGTCGCAACTATTTGCATATTTCTAAGTAAGTGAATATATTTTAGGCTAATATAGACGTACACTCCCTGATATAAGCTTAGCAAACTAAATGCTTTTTTTACTTTGTCAATTCTCACATAATGTGTTTGAGGAACTTGCTATTGATACCCTTTAAGCTTCCCTACAGGAATTTTCCATTTTGAGTCATCAATAATGCTGAGACAAAAATAGGTTCACTTTCTTAGGGACACCCGATGTTTAATGCGTCAACTGCATGCAACAATTGGAACCAAAACCCCCACGTTCCAAAGGAAGGTATTCGATATTGTGTCCTGCGCCCCTTATGACGGTAATCCCACAAAATTCCGTAAATCTATGAAGAAATACACAATCTCAGTAAGTTTGAGAAAGAACACTTGACTTACACTTTGCGGAGTTTGGAGAAATAGACCCCTGGACCATTATGTATGGACAGTCCTTAATTAAACTATCAGTTAGGATTATAGAGTCTAAATGTGATTACAGCAATATGCATTATTTAGCTTACTTTAACTGTGTGTTCAGAATGTTTTCAAATGAAACATTCCTAAGGGATGTGACTAGGTAGACGATAACGCCTCCATAATAGACGTTACTTCCATCGAATTGCCTTAATGCATAATTCCTATAAAATCATTCCCAAACAAAAAAACGAGTGGAGATCAATCTTTCTATTGGTATATACAATGTGCTATTCGAGTATGCATTAAGGTTATTTGACAAATACGGGTGCAAGTCAATTAGGCTAATTATTATTACATTTTTCAAGATTAGCCATTGCCTTTGACTCCTTTATCGTGTCAGGTTTGCTCTAAGATTGGTCGGTTCAGGTACTAATGTGTTAATATCTTGCATACAGTTAAGTTACATTTCTCCCATGAGATACAATTTATGCTTATGAAAAATTTCTGTTAGTGTTGCGATTATACTGTGTGAATATAATCAGCAAAATAGTGAACAACCATTATGGAATCCACAGTTCACTCTCTATGCATAACTAAAAGAGAGTCAAATACTTTGCATGCTAAGAGAGTATCAATATGGAAACTCCTACACTCTGCAGAGCTGAAGAGAGTCAACAAGATTAGTATGGCACTCGTTGTAGAGCTAAAAGAAAGTCAAACAGATCAGTATGGCATTCTTACTCTTTGCATAGCTAAAAGAGAGTCAAAAATATCACTGCTATTCGTTGCATACATGTAGCTAATAGAGAGTCAAACAAATCAGCATGGTAACTCCTATACACTTTGCATATAGCTAAAAGAGAGTCAAAAAGATCATTATGACACTCCTATTCGTTGCATAGCTAATAGAGAGTCAAACAAATCAGCATGGTGACTCCTATACACTTTGCATATAGCTAAAAGACCATTGCATAGCTAAAAGAGAGTCAAAAAGATTAGTATGGCACTCCTACTCGTTGCATAGCTACATGTAGGAAGGAGTCGAAAAGATCAGTATGTTCACTCCTACTCTTTGCATGGCTAAAATAGAGCAAAATACAGCAGTTTGATACTCCTACTCTGCATAGCTAAAAAAGAGTCAAAAAGATTAGTATGGCACTCCTACTCGTTGCATAGCTACATGTAGGAAGGAGTCGAAAAGATCAGTATGTTCACTCCTACTCTTTGCATGGCTAAAATAGAGCCAAATACAGCAGTTTGATACTCCTACTCTGCATAGCTAAAAAAAAGAGTCCAATATGATCAATATGGCACTTTCCAGGGCATAGGTCAGAGAGGCTCACTCCTAGTTTATGCATATCTGAGATAGTATGATAGATCAGTGTGGTCCCTCTTGCTCTCTGTTTAGCTAAGAGAGGGCCAAAAAGATCCGAATGGTCGTTTTGCTCTCTGTTTAGCTAAGAGAGGGCCAAAAAGATCACAATGGTCGACCTGCTCTCTGTTTAGCTAAGAGAGGGCCAAAAAGATCCGAATGGTCGTTTTGCTCTCTGTTTAGCTAAGAGTGGGCCAAAAAGATCAGAATGATCGATAAAGTCTTCCATACAAGTATTACAATTCGTTAACATTATGTTGACTACTCTCGATAGCGACCATAACTCCTGGAAAAATAATTCAATTGTTCAGTATTTAAGAATGTAAACTTACTTTAATTTTGTAAGAATTTTATGTACAGTATGTTGTTACACGTTTTGGTGGAATGTTTGAAAAATAACTTATTTTAAATGTTACAGTCGTGGTAGACCTGTGAATTGGGAAGAACACACACCTAGATAAAAACATATCAACTAGTAAAAACATCAAAATGGAACCAAGGTGTTGCTATCGCTATTTTTGTTTGCTTTTTCAGTCAGTTTCACAACAAACACCCAGAAAGCTCATTCCAGCTCCTATAATCAATCCAATGAGGCTTTTAAGATATAAAAGTGATCATTACGGTGAGTGGGGCTTTGTTTAGTATCATGGAGGCCAATATTACTCCAGGTGTTCATATTTTACAGCCAAAAGCCCGAAATGCCAAATTATGCCTGTTTGTTGGGCTTTTGAGAAGTGATATATGGTCCACAATGATACGATAAACACTTCAGTTTTGGCAACTCAAAAATCTAAAGGATATGCTCTATTATTATCAAAATTACATAATATTGACAGAGCTCGAAATTTAGAATTATCCAAATTAAGCAAAAGATGCCGAGTTATTCCTATTTGATATGGTTTAAGAAGTGGTTTATAGAATATATAATTATGGGACGAATATCTAATTATAAGCCTTAGTCACATTTGCTCTACGGCGGCCGTACGGCGAATGTATCTTTACAAAATCGATATTGAAAATCTCCATTGGATTTTATGCTGCATATTTTTCTCGATTTTTGGGAAGCTACGGCTGCTAATAAGAATATCGAGATCATCAACAAATCATACAATGGCAATTTATTTATCAAAATGGGTTTACGCAAGGATGTTTTACTGTGCACTTTAGTTTGATGCTTTTATTATACGCAAGTTAGGATTAGAATGCGGAATACATTATGGAACACAATTATCTTGCAGATATTATTCATTTTGAATAATTGCAAGTCCCAAAGTTTACACTCACCCTGACATAGTTTAAGAAGGCCTATAAATTACAACAGTTAATTTTCTCCTGATAAGACGCATTTCTAAACATCGGAAGCGACATCTTTAGAACTAGCCCGACCATTTAAAAGGACAAAGTGCGTAAATGAAGACTCACTTTTGATCTTCATAGTATTTCCAATGGATTAATAGCCCGATCTTTCATTTGACACCAAAAAAAGCTCAAACAGACCACATCAGAGTTGACACTTGATCATGACAAAATATTTTTGATCTATCAATTTATATATGTCAAGTTTTTAGCAATGCCATAGAAAGATGGCATTGTTGTTTGCATTAATTATCAAATCATTTTTGACAGGATTTTCAAGCATACGCCATCTTTTAATCCAAGAGTTAAAATTTAAAACATACACTATTTGTGAAAAGTGGTAATTCACTTTTTTCAATCTCTGAACTTCAAATGCTGTTTTCTATGCAAGTAATTTTTTTCACTTCAGTATTATCCCAAATTAAAGTTTTTATCATATTTGATTGACTGTGTGAGTGACATGTCTCAAACAATAGTTTGTCCTTTTTCATTCAAAAATAGGCGCATTGCCTGTTTAATTACAGTACTGAGAGAATCTAGAGACCTCTTTGATAATAGCATCCTCCAAAGCAGGTGTCCAGAATCCGTCAAGTCAAACGATCACAACAATCACAAACGTTTTAATTTTGTGAAGTATGCAGGAATGATTATTCTAAGATTAAACGGTATTTCAGGAAACCTTTTTTAGTCTCAAGTATAGCTATTTCACCAAAATATTCTTTAGGACTTCAATGCATTCTGACGGATTTTAGTTCCTGGAAAATGAAACATGTACAAATGTTTTTGGTTTATTTTTTCGACCATTCTATGAAGATACAATTGAAAAACTTCCATTCTTTAAAATTCAAATGTTGTGATAACGAGGAAACCAACATTGTCGCTTTCCAATGGGTCTAGAGAGGTAGAAACAATCGAAACCTTGTGAATCAAGATGGAAATCAATTGGTAACAATGGTGTCGTCTTGACTGTGGTCCACAACCAAGGGAGGGTTCATTTGGTGAATAAATAACGCAAATAAACACATCTTTTCAAGTAAGATAGCCTAATAATTTTCTGTTTAGAAAGTTTAGCATATTTAGAAACGATTTGATTAATATTGAATGTTAAAAAATAGATCATGGACCTTAAATGACATCAGGGCGTAACAATTTTTGAATGTAAACCATCTTTCAGCGCCGTATTTATGACATATATCATTTTAAATATGAGCACTAAAAACATATGGCTAAATGTAAATGGAGGGGTTTAAAAGGAGGTTTATATATATCATTGTATTACCAGGTCGATCAATAAGTTCTGAGATGATCATCTCATTTTGATCATTTCGTCGTGTTTTCTTATTGAATATATCATTATAGATAAAAACAAGAAAGTATAGTATCGGGTGTCCTTAAAATGAATCGCTTTTTGACAAGTGTTTTCTCAGCAATACTGGGTGGGCCAAAAAAACAATACCCAACTTTAAATCAGAATAAAAATAGCTATGTTCAATATGATACATTGATTTATATATCATTTTAAAGGTTATCCATTCTCGAACAATTTGGTATATAACACTATGTCATGAAATCAATATTAAAGTTGTATTTTGCTTATTTGGCATTTCTTTGCAAACAAGGTGTCAATTTGATTGATCTCGATGCTTGGCCACCCAACAGCCCCGATGCTAATGTGTTTGATTACCATACATGGAGCCATCTCGAGGAAATGGTACAGCAAAAGCATCCAATAAACAGCATTGATGAGCTGAAACAAAATTCTAAAGTGCTAAAAGGAATTGCAACATAAATCTCTCAATAAGGCTATTGATAGATTGCGCTACCACTTGAAGCTTATTGTTGATGCAGAGGGGAGGGGTGGGGTACATTGAGCAATTGTTAAAATTATGTAAATAAATAAAGTGTAAAATGTTATTAAACAACATTGAAATTCATAAACAATAAATGTAGTCACACGATGATGCAAATATCAATACCCAAGCATGTATTCACCTAACAAAAGAATGATATTCTATAAATAAAAAATTAATATAATATCTTCAGATTTATTATTTTCTCCCTAAAATCTAGAGACCCCAAATAGCAACCCGGCCTCACAAATAAGTATAATAATAAAACTTTACTATCGATTTCATGACATAGTGTTATATACCAAATTGTTTGAAATTGTATAACCTTTAAAATGATATGAGAGTCTACGTATGTACCATATTGAATGTAACTATTTTTATCCTGATTTGAAGTTGGGTATTGTTTTTTTGGCCCACCCTGTAGATAACTCAAATTAATTGAAAATTTATGTAAAGTAGCCTTAAGATAAAGTAGCCTTAAGGTATCGTTATCAATTGAAAACTAGTGCTGCCATCTTTTCAGCTTTTATTTGTGCCACACTGCCATTGACTTTTGTGTTAAAGATGTTCGAATAATTTCATGCTTTATCAAAAAGTGAGTGTTTGTTGAATCTGTCTAAAACTTGAATAGTATATCATATGATGACCCTATTAATATGCATATTTTATTCCTTATGGCTAACTGCTTGCTAAGCAGATGGTATTCACAACTGCAACAACTCTTGATCTTAGATCAATAGGATAGTTTCTAAAAAGCAGAAAAATCAATGAAATCTAGTGCTGCCATCTTTTATTCAGCTTTTAATTTGGGCTAGAGTTCCATTCACTTACATGCTAAAATCTTGGAAAAGTGGCTTAATTTCATGATTTATCAAAGTGTGTTAGTTGAATCTGTATCAAACTTATATGATATACCACATGATGACCCTGTTTATGTACATGTTGTAATTAAACATGCAAATGTTGATTGACATACAAATCATCCAAAGTTTTAAAGAATTTTAGCATTGCATCTATGGATATTTTTTTTAAATTGTCATAGAAAATTTTTCAAATTACATAACGTGTAAATCAAAACTTTTATAGGAGAAAACATTTCACTGAATTCAAATATGCAATTTAAAAGAAGGTAATGTAAGTCATTAGAGGTCTAATATGCAAGTCTCTTAAAATCTCAAGAAAAACGAGATTTTGCGAGATTTCAAAAGCTATATGGAAACTATACTTTTATTTCAAAACATATTGAACAACCCTCATGCATGCAAAAAATGGTTAGACTGCTATGAGCGCGCGCCACTATCCACTTCTTACATATATGTTTTAACATTTGATCTGCAACATTCATACGGCTGAAACATGGAAGTCGGCAAATTAACAGAAATGACATCGCATCTGACATCTGATATTTGGAAGAAGAAAACAAAAACATTCCATACTGTCTGTGATAGGGATAACGATGGTTTTCTAACACGAAAGGACTACGAGGACATCGTCGTAAGGATAACTGCGTATACGAAGGAAAGAGATAATGAGCCATCAAAATCGATGTTAGAAGCTATCCGAAGAAATTTCATCGACACGATGTGGTGTGAATTTGTTGCGCTTGGACCGAACAAAGGTGACACGCGCAAAGTGAATGTTGAGGAATTTACGGTTAACGTTTTTCGAACGCTTGCAATTGGTCTACCAGAATCCGAGAGAATGGCAGCAATATCGCTCTGCAGTGAGACCGCTGCATTCTATTTTGATGTCATCGACTTTAATGAGAACGGCACTATCTCCTGTGCTGAATATGAAGATTTTCTTCACCTGATTGGTGCAGATACACGACAAGCAAAAACCGCGTTCGAATCGATCGACGCTGAGGGCAATGGCATCATCAGTCGTGAAGAATTCGTCAGTGCGTTCCTTGATTTCTGGCTAAATCCAAATAAAGGGGGTGTAGGGGAGCTGTTGTTCGGGAAACTGGTCGACTAATAAAATGACGTAATTATTCTTAAGTGACTTATAGACTCCTCTGTATGCAAGAAATTCTTTAATGACTTGATAAGAATAGCCCCATACAAGTATTCCCTAGGTGGAGAGACCTATGTTCATATATACATATCAGACATCTTGGCAACTGACAATTCGAAAAGTGATTAATTATACAATGTAAATGGCAGCGGACAGAAAATACCAGTTTGACGGAATTAATATTTTTATAAATGATATTTATGTACACGATAACTTGGCACTGTTTATTGCCATATAGGAATTGCAGAATTTCATTAGATTGTTTTTTTAATTCTGTACCATGTAAAAATCAGTATTTTATTTTACAAGTGGGTCGCACTTTTTTGATAGTATAAGTAGTACATAAAGGTATGTAATATTATACATATAATGAATATAGAAATAACTGAATTCTCCTTTCCTGATTTTTTTTTATTTTCTTCGATAATTTAAAAAATTGCTACACCTTTATATATTTATATATATTATTTTCTGGTACAAAATGAAGTATGAAAACATTGGTGCACTTCCTTAACTTTTCTTGAAAGCATATCCTCGTTGCATCTTTGTGCAAGTGAATTAAGAATGAATTCTAGGCAATCTAGTGTTGCTGAAAAACTTGGTAAAGAAGCGTAGCGAATCCCATCGAACAGCCATGGATGGCATTTTTACAAACAAAGTATATAGCAAAAATGGCAGCCATTTTTCAAAATGGCCGCCTTCTACCAAAAGTGACATTAGACCATGTGCCATGCTTATAGTATTCACATACCAAATATGAACAAAATCACTCCACTACTTTTCAAGTTATAGTAAAATACGTTAAAATGGCGGCCATTTTTCAAAATGGCCACCTTCTTCCAAAAGTGCCATTAGACAGTGTGCCGTGCTTATAGTATTTACATACCAAATATAAACAAAATCGCTCCACTACTTTTCGAGTTATAGTGAAATACGTTAAAATGGCGGCCATTTTTCAAAAAAAAATTTTCAAAATGGCCGCCTTGTACCAAAAGTGTCATAGGACAGTGTGTCATGCTTATAGTATTCACATACCAAATATGAACAAAATCGCTCCACTACTTTTCGAGCTATAGTAAAATACGTTAAAATGGCGGCCATTTTTCAAATTTTTTTCAAAATGGCCGCCTTCTACCAAAAGTGTCTTTAGACAGTGTGCAATGTTTATAGTATTCACATACCAAATATGAACAAAATCGCTCCACTACTTTTCGAGTTACAGCAAAAATCGTAAAATAACGAGTAAAGGCCTCCATTTTTCAAGATGGCTGCCATGTGCTTCTTTAATATCTACATTTCTAGCTTTATTAATGTCCTATATAATGTTTTTACATCTAAAACATATTGCTATTACAGTTTTACATATTTCACCTAAATTACTGTAAATTCGGCACTAAAATGGCCGCCATTTTGAAATGAGCGGCCATATTAAACTGTCTGAATGGGACTATAAGGTCAAAATTGTCCCATAAATCAGAGAATTTTGAACATGTGAAACTTCAGTGATGCAATGCACGTGATGCACCAAAGTTCTGAGCGCTAGAAACTCTATTTTGGTCAGGATCGGAGTAACTTTCAAAATTGTTTTTTTCATTGGAACTCACATTTTGCTATTCTTATGCCTCTTATTTATTTGAAGAGTACATTGTGCAAGTAATGGAAAATAGACAATTGTATTACACAACCTATGTTTGAATTAAACTGGGGGGAGTTTTTGTCTGAAAATGATAAAGTGTAAAGGGATTTTAACAGGCCTTTGTTGAAAAAAAGTTTTAGATTAATTTTTGCCCATGAATGTTCCAAATGTACTAAATTGGTCAAATATTGGGATATCAAATATTTCACTTGTCCTATGATTTTGCTCTATTGCAATTGTTTGGCAAAGGTAAAACTTTAGATTCCAGCAAACGGGCAAAAATTAATAAAATGGACCACAATTAAGCGGCATAATTTAAGCAACTTCCGCAAAATTTAAGCAAATTAGGCAGAGATTAACCAAATTCACCGTTAGTTGGATCCTAAAAAAAATTTGCCGAAAATATTCGAACCTCCTCCTGTCAAATTCTGGCTACGCCACTGCAATGCGTTTGCCAAACTTAGGCTCCATCTCCAATATGTATAGGTTATACTCATATCATGATAGGAACCACCTTTTCATTCATAAGTGTCATCTATGTTCTCTCATTTACAATATTGAGCTCATGAGTTGTTTTATGACAAAAAATGATTTTTGGATTGCCTTTTCACTTATCCATTCATTTATCCAGTTTTTACATTCAAACTGCATGTGTCTAAGATCGATGAACTGACAATTTATTCTTTTTTACTGTCAATGAACCTACATTTTTCATTGCCTCATTGGCATGTCTCAGAACAGGCTCAAGGGTTTGTAAAAGCATGCACAAGTGTGTCTCATCTGTTCTCGTGAATATTATTGTGTTGTTTTACAACGTTCCCCTCTCGGAATATTCCTTTCTTGAGACATGGATCCAACATGTTATAACCCCCAACGAATACAAATATTGTTAATAAGGATGAACATAATGCAACTGAGCCCACAATTGTGTAGTACCTTGACATGTTATCAAGACTATAACGCCAGAGAAGATTCCAACAGATGCTGCCAGATGTCGCTCCCATCGCTAAAATTCCACTGACCAACCCAACTCGCTTCGGCCAGATAAATGGTTCCAGTCCGAAGTTTGTACCCTGAGTATTCTGATAGCAAAAACTCCAGAGAATAAGAACAGCAATTGCACTGGGAAGACTCTCCATATAGCCAAATAAGATCATCAAACTACCATGCATGGCGAGAAAAAGTGAATGAATCATAAGCCTGCCAGATAAACTAAAACGTTTGGCAAGTAAATCAGAAAATAAACCACCGGTTAAACAAGCAAACAGAAGCATGAGATTAAAAATGGATGTTATTAGACTGGCAGTTTCAGCACTTATAATTGAGCATTCATCGCTCATCATGGTGGTATTAGCAAATTTGGAATCCTTCAGATCACAGTCTTTGTCTTTGAATTTTCGCAATAGATACACATTCATTGTGCTGTTGATAGATATCCCAACACCCGAAAATTGTATGAATAGGACAGCGATTGCGAAAATTCTAAATCCAATGTGCCCTCGAAATCCTTTGTTATTCTGCTTTGTGAATTTCTTGGAAGTATCATCTGCTACCTTTGCTGGAACTATTGAATCATCACCTGCAAATATATCATGATGGTTATAGCTCTTTTGAGATATGCGGTGCAAACTATTTGACGATCAAATCCTCTAAAATGTACCCAGTGTATTTTTAGATAAAATGTTTCTACGTTTTGGTAAAATGGGCATGATAAGAATTGATATGACTCATAAAGTCACTGAGAATTATTTTCATTAGCTTGAAAATTACTTGTTTTATTTGAATGAACATTATACTCACTTGCTGCATTAACTGTTCCATTGGCAGTTTCAAGTGTGTCTATTTCAACAATCGTCTTTCTTGATCCCCATCTACCTTGTGGGCAATCATCCGTGAATAACCAAAAGAGTACTGCACTGATAAGACATATTGTTGCTGGAATAGTCAAACATATCTTCCAAGCATTTGATTTCCCAACTCCGATCAGCAGTACTAGTTTTAGCAGCAGAGGCATTACAAGAAAAGCCACACCTACTCCCATCGTTCCCCAGCCAGCTGCTAATGAATTTACAGCGCCAACAATATTAGAACTGAATAAACTGAACGCCCAAGAATGACACGGGACAATTGTCGCACCAAGAATGCCAATAAAGAATCTAGTAATTATAAGTCCATTGGCGGTAGATGTGAGCCCTGTAACTCCCAGAGAAATTCCTCCAGTCATGAGGAGTATGGCCATGATACGTCTCGGTCCAAATCGATCAGTCAATGGACCTGTTGCAAGTCGCACCCCTATTACAGAGACAACTGCAGCTATTCCTGAAAATAAACATGCCCATACTTCAAAAATGTCTCAATGCTTATTGCGAGTTGTGATATATCATTTATGATTAGATCTGCCGAGATAATTAAATAATAACATGATAGTTTTGAATCATAAGGGTTTAAATTATCCCAAGCTTCTGTTCTAAATGAAAATAATCCAACACATCACTAACCAGAATTTGCAACTTCTTCATCTGTTAATTTCAGATCTTCTTGAATATCAGGAACTAATGACTGTACACTGAACCAACCAAAGAAGGCAATAAAAGTGCCAAACCAGGATGCCTGGAAACCTCTCATGTGAGGTCGCTTACAACTAAATAACCAAAATTGTGTTGCTTTCTCGTAATCATCTATGCTGAGATTCTTTTTGTTTTGACACTTTGCCCAGCAACCGTTTTCATCTCGGGAATTTTCTTGAGCTCCTCGTGGATCAATTCTTTTGTTTATGTTAGGCGTCCATTTTGATTTATTATCCATATTGTATGGTTTAAACAAACCAGAGATTGACCCAGATTGGTATGAGCGAAAAGACAAAGCGTTGTACTAAACTTCTTTCTCAATTTGCATTAGATGTTCCGGGCTTGATACAGGGTGGTCCAAAAATTGGACCCAGAGTATACTCAATAACTTATTGACCGTAATCAATAGAGACTTGTGATCTCTGGGGCTGTTTGGGGGGGGGCACCAGTCCACCTTGCATATACCGGAAGCTTGTCGTTTTTTCGAATGAGAAAAAATTCTTAGATGTAGTTCAGGGAAAGAAGTTTCAAAAATTTGGGGATTGAAGTCATGGGCGTAGCCAGCTTTCAATCAGGGTGCAGGGTGCGATCGTGGCATAATCGAGCCAAAAATGTTTTAAGATTTGTTTTGAAAAATTGATGGAACTTCCTTCATAATTGACCTACAAACAAAGCATTTTAAAGCTATTTTCTTCTATCCACAAATCGGTTCTATCTTTATTTGTTTCTGTTATCGCACCCCCTGGCTACGTCTATGGGATTACCATTCGATCAAATGAAAGGACAAAAAATATCCGAAACAAGTTTTATTTCTGAAAGGATAAATTTCGTCAAACCTGTTTCTCGTCAAAAACATATTATGATGAAAACTGCTATTTTTCAATCTCATTTTTTCACAATGAAATCTTTTAAAACATAAATTAAAAGCAGTTTGAGGTAAAGTGCATTTAAAAACGTTCACAGAGCGTAACAATCGACAAAAAGGACATCACTTCCTCAGTGATAAGCGTTTGATCACAAAGAGTTGAAAAATTAGAAATTTTCTTTTTTTCTTTCTGCTCCACATCTTTTTACCCGATGCAGATTGAGCGAGCAGAATACAATCGGTGTGAATTGGCGCTTGGTGCAGACATCAAGGACATCTTTGACTTTGAATATGTGATATATTATAAACTATTATAAACTATTGGGTGTCCATTTTTTCTCAAGTGGGATTCTACCTTTTGCTAAATCCCCCAAGCCCTTGAAATGATGAGGGTATGGGATTTGTATGTAGAGGTCAATACTCTCTCCTGAATTGATAAAATACTAATACCCAAATGATATGACATTAAGCGAGTCATTCCCAAATGATATGGCATTAAGTGAGTCATTCCCCCCATTTTCTTTTTCACAACAAAGCCCCTACTATAACTAGGGACATATTCTCCAAACAAACATTGAGTCCTGTATTAAGTAACAAGGATCCATGACTCATGATACTTTAATGGTATTTTAAAAGTATGCGAAACGCGAAATACAAAATAGATAAATATATTCGTCGTGCTTAGAAAATTTAGTTTGCGTTTCCATGGGTGCAAAATATTCAATTGATCTTACTTTTCAATTTCTTTGTTTGCTATTTCTATAAAAACGGATGAAGAATAATCAGTCTACCGTATGTCATCAGTCTATCGCGTGTCATCAGTCTAGAGTGTGTCATAAGTTTATCGTGTGTCATCAGTCTGTCGTGTGTCATCAGTCTTTCGTGTGTCAAGAGTATCTGCGAATGTTTGAGTATTCAGAAACGAACGTCAATTTTTTATTGTGATTCTTTCTACGTTTCAGTAATTCAGATGAGAGTTAAAGGCAGAATTAGATCTATATGGACTGACAAATTGCAAGCAACATGTACAATTAACCTACCGATCCTCCTTGCGATCTCAAATACAATATACAGGGTGTCCCGAAAGTATGCCCCTCCCCCACCTAGGCAGACATATACCAATGTCTCCATAGTATTGTGTCATATATCATTTTAAAGCGTATCCAAAGTTACATTTGATTCGCCAAGTATGGTTCATCTCAAAAATGGAACAAGGCACAGGACGTGAACGAGATCACACCATCAAATAGGCATATCATGTACAGGAAATCCGATGAGCAGTTTTCCTGAAATGGCAATGACAAGATTTTTCAAAAAACCTTAAAAATGGCCACCAGAAAACAAGATGGCCGCCCAAAAGTTAATCAGCTCTAGTACTTGATAACCTCTATCATCTGTGCGAATTTGAAGGAAATCCAATGAGCGGTTTTCCTAAATTGGCGATGACAAGATTTTTTCGAAAAAACTTCAAATGGCCACCAGAAAACAAGATGGCTGCCACAAAGTTAATCAGCTCTAGTACTTGATATCCTCTATCATGTGTGTAAATTTGAAGGAAATCCGATGAGCGGTTTTCCTGAAACGGCGATGACAAGATTTTTCAAAAAACCTTCAAAATGGCCACCAGAAAACAAGATGGCCGCCCAAAAGTTAATCAGCTCTAGTACTTGATATCCTCTATCATTTGTGTAAATTTGAAGGAAATCTGATGAGCGGTTTTCCTGAAATGGCGATGACAAGATTTTTCGAAAAACCTTCAAAATGACCACTAGAAAACAAGATGGCCGCCCAAAAGTTAATCAGCTCTAGTACTTGATATCCTCTATCATGTGTGTAAATTTGAAGGAAATCCGATGAGCGGATTTTCTGAAATGGCGATGACAAGATTTTTCGAAAAATCTTCAAAATGGCTGCCAGAAAACAAGATGGCCGCCCAAAAGTTAATCAGCTCTAGTACTTGATATCCTCTATCATTTGTGTAAAAGGAAATCCAATGAGCGGTTTTCCTGAAATGGCGATGACAAGATTTTTCGAAAAACCTTCAAAATGGCCGCCAGAAAACAAGATGGCCACCCAAAAGTTAATCAGCTCTAGTACTTCATATGCTCATCATCTCTGCGAATTTGGAGAAAATCTGATGAGCAGTTTTCCTTAAACGGCGATGACAAAAAGCGGGACGATCACGACCACCACCACGATCACGACCACGACCAGTATGACGACTTTATCCCACCGATGGTGTGATAAAAAGTTACAAGCATTTCAAAACTAATTGTTTAACAGCGAATTGAGTGTTCATTAAATAATATGTTTATTCCAATTATGACTTGAAAGCATTCCAACTGTACTGTACTGTACTGCACTGCACTGTACTGTGCTGTACTGTACTGTACTGTACTGCACTGTACTGTACCGTACTGTTCTGTACATTTATTACAAAATAGAAGTTCATTATGAAGTGTTCATATGAACAAGTTTAACTACATATTTAAGATGATGGCACAAGTACAAAAATTACACTGCCCTCCGCATCTTTTAATAGGGCCTATTCATATTGTGTCTTCCTTCTTTGTGAACGTCCCCATAGGGGATACAACCAAAAGGTGCTATTTTTTCATAAAATATGGCACCTTATTATTTAACATATAATGACAATAAGGCACTTGGTAATGAATGAATAGGCCTAAATAAATTATATCTACAAAAAGTCCTGCTTATATTTCTTTTAGAATAACTGAAATCAACTTTAAATACAATCTTTAAACCTATACTAGCTACTCCCATGTGTAGCAAATCCCACCAAAACAAAACATCAAATCATTCATCATTTTTAACATGATATTATTGAAATAACAAGGCAGTAGTGTTATTGCCTTATATGGAAAATTCTACACCCATGATGTCATGTGACTATAAATTTAATCAGTTCCTTTTCGACTGAAGGTCCTTGCATCAGAAGTCATTACTAGTGTATAAATTTTGGACAGTGACAGTATGTCCTTTATTTATTTTGAAAATTGGTTAGTTTTGGATGCAGCAATCATTTTGAAAATTCATTCTTGAGCCCATAAGGCATCGCCACATAAAATCTGAACCAAAACTGACTACTGGAATTGGGTTATCAATAATTTTATCTTTCTGAAAGAGTGGTGGCCATCTTCAATTGATCAGCCATACTGGAAATTTCTTCTTGCACAAAGAAAGTCCTATTCCCATGAGACATTAACTCAGGATAAGATGGATGAATGGCTCCTTTATATGAATTTAAGTATCTACATGATTCATTTTAAGTGACCAGCAAAATCAATGATCATTGTTATACCCGTACAATCAGACCTATACATTATGACATCACACTTTACCTACCTATGATGTCACAATCCACTGTTGTGACCTTTGCTTAAATAACTGAACTTATGACTCAGTCACATATGATCTATGGCAACCGTACGGCGGCTGTAGCTTCTCAAAATCAAGAGAAATATGCAGCATAAAATATAGGGATAAGCAGTAAGATGTAGATTTTCTATATCGATTTTGAGAAGCCAAGATCGCTGTACATCTGCCATAGAGCAAATGTGACTGAGGCTTAAAGCATGTTCATGCACAAGTTTGCATAGAGTGTCCAATAAATATAATGATTCTTAACACCCCCATACATCAAAGGCAACCATGCAATGATCGATGCAGTTTAACCAACTTGTATGCTTCCGTAATAACTTCAGAAATCATGAGAATCAAATCATTCTAAATTGAAAATGATAAAATTAAGGCAGCTCCACATTTTCAAAAAGAAATAAAACAAGAAAATATGAGAAACATCATTTCAACATTTAATTGAATATTTTGATTTTGAACAATGTATTTTAACATATTATTGTGTGAATTCACATAAAATGTGGAAAATATTACGATTTAATATTACTCATTATTAATTTGTTTATGCAATTGTTCTGAAAGCGTTTTGGCAAATAAATAAATAAAATATTGGTAATTGTTATCAAGAAAATTGCATGAAAAGTCTAATTATTATGCTTAAACCGCCTTAATGCCTACAAAATGATGACTAGGGAATAGTCACAATTCAATAGTCAACATTTCATATGCTTCAAGAACAATTCTACATATCTTATATGTACTCTGAAGCAACTCAGACTTATTAAAATAGCCATTACATGTATATAAATGCATATATACTGAGCAGGTAACACTAAAATCTAATAATATTGCAATTTTAAATGTATATTATGTACAATATTATATATACTTTGTTATATACACTATCTACATATATACAATGTAATTATGCAGAAGACTTCTCATTATACCTTTGTGTTACGTTTTCCTTCATTTCATCAGACAGAGGCAACTGGAAAAACTAGGCAATACTTTCATAAGTTAGACTTTCTAGAATTTGGATCACTCTCAAATAACATTCTCTGCACTAAGATTCAATCATTATGCATTAAGAATTCTTCATTTGGATTGTGAATACTTTAAATGTACTAAACAAAAAATTTATCTGCACTGAGGAAAGTTCATCAGCACTGAGAATACTACGTCAGCACTGAGAATACTTCATCAGCACTGAGAATATACTTCATCGGCGCTAAGAATCCTTAATTTGCACTAAGAACACGTCATCTGCACTTAAATAACTTAATTGCCTGAATATAATGATGATCTCATCCAGGCATACACTATTATCATTTCCTCAGTTTGTTAGGTGATCGTACCTCCATTGAGCCACCTCCATCTCTGCTTGTTTGAGATGCTAGCACAGGAGACTGGACTACCTGGAAAAGCAGAATATCAAAATATCATCATTAATACAGGATACACATGGATAAAAAATATCTCACTAGTTATGTATCACTGCACCCCCAAAATGCAATCTGATTTTGACACCATTTCGGTGCCAAATTCGGATCAGTAGCAAATTTTGGTGTCTAAAGGTTTCGGTGCCGGAATGGTGCCGAAACGGTGCCAGAACAGCGCTGAATTTTTTCGATGCCGAAACGGCGCCGAATTATATTGGCTTTGTAGTATACAAATCATTCGTCACCCCCCCCCCACTCCAATGTCTCAGCACTTCCATGACCTGTGTTGGATCACAAAAGGTTGGTGTCAGTGGGAATTCAGTTGCTTTTTAAGGCATATTCTGGAAAAGCTTTGAGATGTTTACTTTGTTTTTTGTTTCATTCCAAAACACAATTTCAGAACTTAAATTCAAAGCAAAGGGAGGCCTGCTCTCAGGGTATAAGTATCATGTTTAACTACAGGTGTATTTATTTTTATTTTGTCTTAAACATGTTAGATTTACTTACCCCAGGTAGTCCAGGCCCAGTTCCTATAGACACTGGTATAGGAATGCTGATGAACTGTGGTTGTTGTTGTTGACTACTACCACCTTCAATGAATAAATAAAACATTATGGAATTAAATGATTCATTTGTTGAGGAGGGGGGGTAATATCCTATAGACAATGGTATAGGAATGCTGATGAACTGTGGTTGTTGTTGTTGACTACTACCACCTTCAATGAATAAATAAAACATTATGGAATTAAATGATTCATTTGTTGAGGAGGGGGGGTAATATCCTATAGACAATGGTATAGGAATGCTGATGAACTGTGGTTGTTGTTGTTGACTGCTCCCACCTTCAAGAAATAAATAAATGTTGACATATTTTATTGAACACTGCTCTTACAACTTGAAAGTATGATTTCAAACAGTTGATACAGTCATTTATGAGTTGAAAACATTCCTGAATTAAAAAATTCTTTGTTTTCTTCATGGTCACTTTCTTTAATGTCCTATTTAGTTAACCAAATATGAACAAAAGGGTAAAGTTCGTTATGACAATCATAAAACCAGTCTGTTGTAGCTAGATCTATCAAGGTATCACATTAAAACTAAAGAACACTGGTTTAACAATTTGGTAGCTCTAGGGAGCAAACTGTCCAATTTGATAATCTAATATACAAGGTGTTAACATGCAAAATGTCACCACCTGTCATTTGTTACACTGTGCTTTCATTAACGCCGTCCCATAATGGAGAGGACCCGGTTTTTATTATAGGGACCCCAAACAATGAAAATTAGTACCGTGGGTACTGGGCTCACATGGTGTTGCTCAAAAGTGAAAATAAAAAAGACGGGTATAATTTTTTGCAGATTTTTTTGTGACAAAATTATTTCATACAACTACTCTTTACAAAGACATGGCTTTTTACAATGCAGGACACCTGAACTATTTTGTAAAGCTAGGAAATGGGCCAAAAGTGAATTTCCCGAGACAAAAATGGTGGCCATTTTGAAATTAGGCGAGATTTTGAAGCAGGAGTCACAGGTTTTTTTTTCTTTATTGATGTTGAACAAAATTATTCTAAATCGGGAATCCTATCTACAGAGGATTTAAAAAGTGTTGACAGAGGTTTAAAACTTGCCACTTTTTTGGACTGACTGAGAGACAGATGGACGAATCAATGTTAACTAAAATGGCTGAAAATAAAAAAACTGATATAATATTTTGCCGACTTTTTGTAACAAAATTATTTCATACAACTACTCTTTACAGTGACATGGCTTTTTACAATGCAGGACAGCTGAAATTATTTGTAAAGCTAGGAAATGGGCCAAAAGTGAATTTCGCGAGACAAGAATGGTGACCATTTTGAAAATAGGCGAGCTTTTGAACCAAGAGTCATAGGAGAGTTTTTTGTATTGATGTTGAACAAAATTAACTTAAAACAGGAATCCTATCGACAGAGGGTTTAAGGCAAATGGTCCAAAAGTGGATTTTGCGAGACAGATAGACAAATCAATGTTAACTAAAATGGCTGAAAATAAAAAAAAAAATGGATATAATTTTTTGCTGATTTTTCGTAACAAAATTATTTCATACATCTACTCTTTACATTGACATGGATTTTTACAATGTAGGACACTTGAAATTATTTGTAAAGCTAGGAAATAGGTTAAAAGTGAATTTCGCGAGACAAAAATGGCGGCCATTTTGAAAATAGGCGAGCTTTTGAACCAGGAGTCATAGGGGAGTTTTCTGTATTGATGTTGAACAGAAATAACATAAAACAGGAATCCTATCGACAGAGGTTTTAAAACGTGCCAGTCAAAAGTGAATTTCGCGAGACAAAAATGGCGGCCATTTTGAAAATAGGCCAGCTTTTGAACCAGGAGTCATAGGGGAGTTTTCTGTATTGATGTTGAACAGAAATAACTTAAAACAGGAATCCTATCGACAGAGGTTTTAAAACGTGCCACTATTGTTGACGGACAGACAGACAGACAGACGGATGTTAAAGCTGGACTACGCTCCGAAACGCAATCTTGGGTTGTTTTGGGGGTGAACTTTATCATTTTGAGCTTAATGAAAGATTATAGAATGATGAACAAATGGGGCAAATCTTGTGTAGAAATACTTACGATAAATGTGTCATTTCAAAGATTTTTCATTGAATTTGCTTCGATCGGTGCCGGCGATATGATTTTGGAAATGTTTCTAAATGAAGAACGTGACGTCACTTCCGAATCATAGCATTCAAAATAAGTAGCGTTTAATTACTTCCTCCTTTCATAATAATACGTTGGTGTAGCGGGTAGAATCCTCGCTGAGCACGCGGGAGGCCCGGGTTCGAATCCCGCACTAGCCTTTTTATTTTTTTAACTAAATGATTGTTCTTTGATATTACGCAGAAAAAAACAATTTTTATTTACATAAACTTTATATTAGAGCTTGAAAATGTAAAAACAATATATGTCAACATATTGCGTTTCGGAGCGTAGTCCAGCTTTAACTAAAATGGCTGAAAATAAAAAAAAATAGATATAATTTTTTGCTGATTTTTCATAACAAAATTATTTCATACATCTACTCTTTACATTGACATGGATTTTTACAATGTAGGACACTTGAAATTATTTGTAAAGCTAGGAAATAGGTCAAAAGTGAATTTCGCGAGACAAAAATGGCGGCCATTTTGAAAATAGGCGAGCTTTTAAGCCAGGAGTCACAGGGGAGTTTTCTGTATTGATGTTGAACAGAAATAACTTAAAACAGGAATCCTATCGACAGAGGTTTTAAAACGTGCCGCTGTTGTTGATGGAAAAGTGGATTTCACAAGTCAGATGGACAAATCAATGTTAACTAAAATGGCTGAAAATAAAAAAATAGATATAATTTTTCGCTGATTTTTTGTAACAAAATTATTTCATATATCTACTCTTTACATTGACACAGATTTTTACAATGTAGGACACCTGAAATAATTTGTAAAGCTAGGAAATGGGTCAAAAGTGAATTTCGCGAGACAAAAATGGCGGCCATTTTAAAAATAGGCGAGCTTTTGAACCAGGAGTCATAGGGGAGTTTTCTGTATTGATGTTGAACAGAAATAACTTAAAACAGGAATCCTATCGACAGAGGTTTTAAAACGTGCCAGTCAAAAGTGAATTTCGCGAGACAAAAATGGCGGCCATTTTGAAAATAGGCGAGCTTTTGAACCAGGAGTCATAGGGGAGTTTTCTGTATTGATGTTGAACAGAAATAACTTAAAACAGGAATCCTATCGACAGAGGTTTTAAAACGTGCCACTATTGTTGACGGACGGACAGACGGACGGACAGACGGACGGACGGACGGACAGACGGACAAGTGAGCGATTGCAAAAGCTCACCATGTGAGCTAAAAATGAGGGGTCACTTGGACGCAGTGCAGGTCATATCAAAAAATCATCTCTGGATGAATGGATTGATAAAGATCTTACCTTCAGTCTTTTATTTGGTCAAAATCAGCTAAATAAACGAAGGATATTCTATTTCTAAAAGAAATAAAATTATCTTTCGGAGTTTCTTTCCCGGAAGTTGATTTCCGATCAATATAGTATGAGGTATGTGATAGGACAATCACTTGTAGTTGATTTCCGAGCGGTAATCGTTACGAGTCCTATGATTGGCTGCGATTATTGATCGCGCATGCGTCTTGATAATTTTAACTAATCAAATTGCTGGATTTGTTGCGCATGCGCAAAAAACTGAACCAAAGAATGGAACCTCACGGAGACTGCTCCTAATGAAACTTTCTGAGCGATCAAATCAATAGCAAATTGCTTTGAAATACGCGAAGAAAAATGGTATTTAATGGGTGAATATTACTTACCTCTTTCAAATGAAGGTATCTGCATCATTTAATGACCTACTAGACGTGTGTAGAAAACTAATCTGGGCCAAAAAATAACAAAACTGATGCAAACGTTTCATCAATTTTTTTCGTTCAGTGCAAAAATGTGACTTTGAATTCCCGGGAACCTTTTTTCATAGGGACGCACTTTTTTGAGGGGGGACGCAATTTTGGAAAATCAATCCGTCCCAGGGAAGCACTTTTGGAGAAGCCTACTGAAAGCACTGTTACACCAACTCCTGAACACCATTCACAAAAAGGTGGGCACTATAAAAGTATGTCAACGCTTCTGACGGGGAGTGGTGACAAAAGTTTAAAGAAATTATTTTTTCTATCACTTACTATTTGTAGTTTCTGTGTTGGTTGGTTGCTGTGATATGACTGGTGCCGAAGGGAGATTGAGAATGAAGGTGTCTGGTATATGGTTCACTTGTGTCGTGGGGGTGGCGTAAACAACACCCTGGGGGGTCTGGTACATTACTGTACCCCCACTACTGTTGTTAGCCTGTGTCCTGTTTGAACGTTCTATAAATAATGAAAATAAAATGTCGTTAAATTTTCCAGATCAATGAGTGCCCTACCTGCATGCATGTGTTGACAGGGATCTTCATTGAAATGCATTTAAATAAAACACTCCCTTAAAATGAATTTAAATGGAAAAACAAACTACAGTAAGGATTTAAAAATGGATTTAAATGAGATCTTAAAAATCTGCTACCAAAAGGCAGGCCTGTTGCAGGGACACAATGGCGCAACATGTTAACCCAGTGAAAAAGTTAATAATTACAAGTGAAGAAAAAACATTCTTGATTTGCAGAACTTTTAGTGCATTTCTGTGAATCAAAGAAAAATTGGTGTAAAATGTCCACAACAATTTGTAATAACAAGAACATGTTGAAAAGAAAATGAAATTCATGAATTGACATGATTGAGTGCTTTATATGCATGAATTAAACATCTTATATGCATGAATTAAATTAAATGTTATTCATGCATGTATATGTGTTAAACATTTTGCATGCATGAATCAAATGTTTAACATGCATGTATCTTAACATTTTACACACATGAATTAAAATTACAATATGCATGTATGTATGTAAAACAACGAGCTTTACAATATGCATGTATTTAACATTTTACATGCATCAAAGTAAATGCTTTACATGCATGTATCAAACATTTACATGCATGAATCAAATGTTTTACATGCATGTATCAAACATTGCACATGAATGAATCAAATGTTTTACAGTCCCTACCTGGTATTGTGGCACTTTGGGTGGTTTGAGCTGCTTGTGTTGTAATAGTAGATCCTGAACTAGCATTAATGCTACCTGCTGAAATAGAAAAGCACAATTTAGGAGTCATCCAGCTGTGAAACGGTGACAATGGAAATAAGAAATTCTCAAGTTCATCTTTGGTGTACGTATGACTGTTGACAGTAAAAAAATGGAAAGTGAAAATCAATTTTCATCCACCTATGTAATGATTTGACAAGGCATAATATGCCAAGTGTCACCACCAGCCATTTCTTACAGACGCCAATTGCCTAATACCAACCCCAAACACTGTCCATAAAGAGTTTGGAGTCTATAACAATATGTAACCACTTCTAGTGGTGACATAAAAATTTAAAAACTTACTTGAAGATGATGCTGAATATTCTATTAGATTTTGGTTAGCTGGGGGTAGCCTAAATATTTGGCCTGCTTGTGAAGTACTTAGTTGTGCATTCTGTGTTAGTTGGCTCATGGGGATTGCAATAGGAGTCCCAGGAGGCATACCTAGATTAATACAGAGACATATTAAAATTGAGCAAGTGTGGCTTGCTCTAATGACAATACTCCATATATCTATGACTGCTTTGTAGCTGCAATTTATTTCAATGGAAGCATCTGTCATTAGATTTTTGTGCCTATTGGCTTCATGTTAGTTTCTTATCATAAGGACTTTGTTTATTTCAAAGTATTAACAATACAAATAAATAAATATTAGTTTTATGACTTTTATGTGATTAACACCTATTGCCCTTTTATATTTTATATTTAGTTTTAATAAAATCAAACAATGTGTAAAGTAAAATACAGATTTTATAAAAAATTAACATAATCAGACAATATCTACAATACTGAATATAATTAAAAACCCTTTCATTTAATTGTTATACTCAGGTTAGCACTCTCACCAGGAAATATTTAGGGTAGTTGAATCATGATAAATCATATTTATGGTATGTTATATTTTATCCTATTCACATGCTATTATTGTGTATTCAGTCGAGTTAAGACTGTGGAAACAGTCATGATATGCAAATAGGCTGTGGTGGGAGCTAAATAGAGTGTGGTGCTGCGCCACAGTCTAAAAGCCTGACGAGAGCCCTGCAGGTGTATCTGATTACGGTTGAGTGAATGATACTGCATTCTGATTGATCAGCTGAAGGTTTATTTATGTTTATTTTATCCACCAGAATTGGCGTGTTTACATGTATTATATAAAATATTACATAAGGGGTTGAAATTTAAAAAAAAAGTATTACATAAGGGGTTGAAATTAAAATCTCGATCTTTTCATCTTTTAATAGTAGATAGAAAACCAATCCTAACCTGTGACTGCTGAGGGAGACAGTATGGCAGCGTAGCTTCCCCCAGGGAGCTGCACTGCCATTGTAGGTGTGGTTGCCTGGGGGGATGGTGTCGACAGTTTATTGGGGGCGACTACTGGACTTTGTTGTACCTGCAAAATGTATCATAACAAATAAAATAAATGAAGTTTATTTACTAACAAATTTGAAAAGGAATATTCTGCATGTCATATACATGTTAGATATCAAATTACTACAAACATGTACAGGGTGGGCCAAAAACATGTTACTGATTTTAAAGTGTAATAACTCATTTATTATCGTCAAGATTGGTCTCAAACTTTCTGAGATGACTAAGAATTTATGTAAGTTTTGTTCAACATAAGTAGTTTTCATGTACTACTCAGCATCTTTTGGAGGCTGCCAATCAAATCATCATGTCCATTTTAGTGAATGTCATGTATGACAAAGCTCACTTTCACCTCTCTTGACATGTCAAAAAGCAGAACATGATATTCTGGGCTGCTGATAACCTTACACAGACACAAGATAGACCACTTAGTGATGAAATAGTAACAGTAAGATGTGCTATACCATTCTGATTCAATGCCAAAGTAAAGTAACAGTGAATTCTGGGTGAGAATACAAAGTGTCGTCTTGCAGCAGGATGGACCACCTCCTCATTGCTCTAAGAGCAACCTAAGAATATCTAGAGAGAAAAGTTTCTGGTGAAAGGCTTATCTGACGTAGGACCCCAAACATATGGAAACCATATCCTCTAGACGTCTAGATGTGATTACTTTATTTTGGGGTACCTTAAGGATAGGGATAACCAAAACCATCCGAACACAACTGATAAGCCTAAGGTTAACATCACACATGAGATCAACCAAATACTACTGGACATGATTCAGCGAGTTATTGATAACTTCAATGTGCTTGTCCAAGCAATACTTGGCAAGCCTGGTGTACGATTTGATTGGCACCCACCAAAAAATGCAGAGATGTACACAGAACCCACTTATCTTGATCAAAACTTACATAAAGGACAATTCTCGGTTTGGAGAACGAAGTTCATCAATCTAAATGAGCATTATCCCTGCTTCGGACAAATTTGATTTTTTTACATAATATAGATTTGAATGTCTTCTTTTGAATAATCATAATTTAATTTGGGTAATATTTCTGGATTTTTCACAAAAAAATATTAGCGCAGTACACTGATGAACTTCTTTCCCCAAATCAAGACTTGTATTTTATTGAATCGGTCTAATTGAGCGTTATCCCTGCTTCAGACCAATTTGTTATTTTTAAATCTTGTAGATTTAAATGTCCTCTTTTGAATATTTATAGTTTAATTTGGGTAATATTTCTATATTTTTCATGAAAAAAATTATTAGCCCAGGAGACTGTTCTCCAAACCGAGAATCATCCTTTTTAGTCATCTCAAAAAGTTTGAGATCAATCATGCCAATAATTAATGAGTAATCATATCTTAAAATCTGTAACATTTTTTGGCCCACCCTGTATGTAAACTGTATATGAAAAGTAGTTAAAGCAAATCCTCTCATCACAGACGCTAAAATGGAAACATCTCTGATTAATTATATCATATGTTGTTTCAACTACTATATTTATATTGTGAGAATTTTAGTTTTACACAAATTTTGACAATTCCCTGGCACTGAGTCAACTTTGGATGCAGCATAAATTTGAGAAGTTGAAAACCACCTTGTACTTGAGAGGGAATATATACTGAAACCAGATGACAATTCAAGATTTCGATATTTCATTCAGGGCCATTTTTGGCAAAGGGAATGACTGCACTATGCAACTGACAAACAAATGATTGAAAGTAAACTCTCAGATCCCTACACTTTAATTACAAGGCATTAACATGCAAAATGTCATCCCCTGCCATTTGTTACAGATGATGGACACTGAACACCTACCACCGATCCCTAACCATCAAACACTGTCCGCAAAAAGTTGGAGATGATAACAATGTCACCACTTGTATTTTGCACATTTTGAACTAGAAATTAGAGCTGTTACAATGCAGTAAACCAACCTGAGTTGTTGTTTGGGTTGAGACTGGAGCCATGTATGATGTCATAGATATCCCCTGGTTAAGGCCTGCTGACGATATATGTATATTCTGAGCTGCATTGTTTTGGTCACCTGAGCCAGGGACATTGGCGAGAGTGTAGGTCCTGGGGGTGGGGACTTGGCTGATCATTTGCTGCTGTTGGTCTAACTATAAATACAAGATTAACATGACATCTTTTATTTTATCTGGAATCCTGTTTTAGATTATTAGAAAACAGCTAGCATAGTCCTGCACACAAGCCTTGAAGAGTGCTCTTATTCATAATGCAGCTAAGTTAAGTTTGACTAATGATAATGATTTTCTGGCCAGTTTGCAAAGATTTAAAGCACTGATTGAATAATCATTACAATTCTAAAAATGTGAAACGTAAAGGCTAGAAGCACCATCGAGATGAAGTTTGTTTTTTTAATTTGTAAATGGGTTAACTAAGACAGAAAATTATCATTAAAGTTTCATATCATCTTGAATCTGGGTAATTTAGGAATGTACTAAAAACCCTTCGACCCTGCAACCTACGACTTATAGTATAGTAGGAACAAGGGGTTCCCATGCACCCATAAGGTGTGAATAAGTTACATACATTTTTGTAATCCCTAGGGTGTCTATTTAATGAATTCATTTGTTAACATTGCCAACTAATGTCCCATAGTACTTTTATGGCGGCATTCAGTTACCATGGTTACGCATCTTTAGACATCTTACCTTGGTATCTTAAATCATTTGTAGCTCTGTCATTATTTGGTCTATAGAAATGATATTGGTACCAAAGTGAACCTCGTTAAATTTCCAATAAATTTCTGATATTCAATTATGCAAATTATCTAATTTGCATAAATTATGACGTCATCAATCTATTTTTGGTTCAGAATTTCCAACTATAGCAATGTATCTATTAGAACTGAGGCCGTATGGCAAAATTTCTGAAAGGTTTTGTCCTTTTTTCTATTAGTAGAAGGTATAAGCAACATAAAAGTGAAAACAGATTCAAAATTGAATCAGTATTACGAAAGTTATGTAACTTTCGAGGCAGCTATCGTGAATGTCATTATTTGACAATAATATACATTACGTCTTACCTTGGAGTCTTGAATCAATGTAGCTTCGCTATTATTTGGTCTATAGAGATGATATTGGTATCTGATTAAACCTTATTAAATTTACTATATGGTTACAATATTCAGTTATGCAAATTAGCTAATTTGCATTAATTGTGACGTCATCAATCCATTTTTGGTTCAGAATATCCTAGTATAGCAACATATCTATTAGAACTGAGGCCTTATGACAGAATGTGTGCGTAGTTTTGTCCCTTATTTGATGAGTGGAAGATATAAGCAACATCAAAGAGACAACAAATCTTCAAAATTGGATCAGAATTAACAAAATTATCCAGCTTTGGAGGCAGCTACTGTGAACGTCATTGTTTGACAATTATAAAAAGAATATTAAATAAACAAAAAAAGTAACAACCATAGTTGTTTCAATCTAATTGAGTAAAAATGTGCATGTATTGAACTGAACTGATAAGTATGTGGAAAGGTTACATGTATTTTGACTATCATTCACAGGGGTCAAAACGGTTATCTCGACCCTGTATATTAAAGATCCAATTTTATAATTTACCATGCACTTTCAATGATTTATATAAATAGTATACATATAGTCTGATTTTCATCATATTCTTCATATTCTTGATTCTTAAAGCATCTGAAGTATAAAGCATGATTAGAAGTGAAGATGATTCATCATATGGTTTATGTAATATTTCTAACATTTCAGATGCTATGGTAACATCACTTGATAATGAGGTTTTTACATTTCACGTTCTTAATGAGTTAAAAGAAAGTTATTCTCCCTTTGCTTTAGAGAAAAATGGTCACATGAATTTGTTTAAAAAAATTATAACTTAATTTAACCCCCTCCTGACAGCCCCCATATTTGAAGATTTTGGTGAAACCTGGTAAAATACATTAATTATTATGTTCGAGAAGCCCTCAGAAGCTATATGATGGCCCCAAGAATCTATACAGGGGCCCCAAGTGGCCCCCAGAAGGTATACGATGGCCCCCAGAAGCTATACAAGGGCCCCCAGAAACTAAACTGTGGTCTCCAGAAGCTATATGGTGGCTTCCAGTGGCCCTCAGAAGCTATATGATGGCCCCCAGAAGCTAATTAGTGGCCCCCAGGAGCTATACGGTGGCACCCAGAAGCTATTCAGGGAACCCCAGTGGCCCCAAGAAGCTATACGATGGCCCCCAGAAGCTATACAGCAGCCCCCAGAAGCTACACGATGACCCCAAGAATCTATATGATGGCTCCCAGAAGCTATACAGGGCCCCCAGTAGCCCCTAGGAGCTATACAGTGGCCCCCAAAGCTATATGGTGGCCCATTGGGGGACACTGTATAGCTTCTGGAGGCCATCATATAGCTTATGGGGGCTACTGGGGGGCCCTTTATAGCTTCTGGGAGTCATTGGGGGCCACCATATAGATTCTGGGGGCCATTTTGTAGCTTCTGGGTACCACCATATAGCTCCTGAGGGTCACTATTTAGCTTCTGGGGGCCATCATATAGCCTATGATGGCCACTTGGGGCCACCGTATAGCTTCTAGGGGCTACTGGGGGCCCTTCACATCTTCTGGGAGCCATTGGGAGCCATCATATAGATTCTGGGGGCCATCATGTAGCTTTTTGGGGCTCCTGTATAGCTTCTGGGGTCCATGGTTTAGCTTCTTGGGGCCACTGGGGTCCCCTGTATAGCTTCTGGGAGCCACCGTATAGCTCCTGGGGGCCACTAATTAGCTTCTGGAGGCCATCATATAGCTTCCGAGGGCCACTGGGGGCCACCATATAGCTTCTGGAGACCATAGTATAGTTTCTGGGGGCCCTTGTATAGCTTCTGGGGGCCATAGTATAGCTTCTGGGGGCCCCCCTATAGCTTGTGGGGGCCACCGTATAGCTTTTTGGGGCCACTGGGGGCCCCTGTATAGCTTCTGGGCGCCACCGTATAGGTCCTGGGGGCCACAGGGTTTCCTGTATAGCTTCTGGGAGCCACCGTATAGCTCCTGGGGGCCACTATTCAGCTTCTGGGGGCCAACATATAGCTTCTGGGGAGCACAGTATAGCTTCTGGGGGCCACTTGGGGCCTCTGTATAGATTCATGGGCTACTGGGGGCCATCATATAGCTTCTGGGGGCTTCTGGAACCTAATAATTAATGTATTTTGCCAGGTTTCACCAAAATCTTCAAATATGGGGGCTGTCAGGGGGGGGTTAAATTAATTAAGTTATAATTTTTCTAAACAAATTCATGTGACTATTTATCTCTAAAGCAAACGAGAATAACTTCCTTTTAACTCATTAAGAACGTGAAATGTAAAAACCTCATTATCAAGTGATGTTACCATAGCATCTGAAATGTTAGAAATATAACATAAACCATATGATGAATCATCTTCACTTCTAATCATGCTTTATACTTCAGATGCTTTAAGAATCAAGAATATGAAGAATATGATGAAAATCAGACTATATGTATACTATTTATATGAATCATTGAAAGTGCATGGTAAATTATAAGATTAGATCTTTAATATACAGGGTCGAGATAACCGTTTTGACCCCTAGGTACTAGGATATTCTGAACCAAAAATGGATTGATGACGTCACAATTAATGCAAATTAGCTAATTTGCATAACTGAATATTGTAACCATATAGTAAATTTAGTAAGGTTTAATCAGATACCAATATCATCTCTTTAGACCAAAAAATGGCGAAGCTACATTGATTCAAGACTCCAAGGTAAGACGTAATGTATATTATTGTCAAATAATGACATTCACGATAGCTGCCTCGAAAGTTACATAACTTTCGTAATACTGATTCAATTTTGAATCTATTTTCACTTTTATGTTGCTTATACCTTCTACGAATAGAATAAAGGACAAAACCTTTCAGAAATTTTGCCATACGGCCTCAGTTCTAATAGATTCGTTGCTATAGTTGGAAATTCTGAACCAAAAATAGATTGATGACGTCATAATTTATGCAAATTAGATAATTTGCATAATTAAATATCAGAAATTTATTGGAAATTTAACGAGGTTTAATTTGGTACCAATATCATTTCTATAGACCAAATAATGACAGAGCTACAAATGATTTAAGATACCAAGGTAAGATGTCTAAAGATGCGTAACCATGGTAACTGAATGCCGCCATAAAAGTACTATGGGACATTAGTTGGCAATGTTAACAAACGAATTCATGAAATAGACACCCTAGGAATTACAAAAATGTATGTAACTTATTCACACCTTATGGGTGCATGGGAACCCCTTGTTCCTACTATACTATTACAGCGTGTCAAGAATTTTTGAAATATATTTTTATAAAAACCCTTCGACCTTCTATTTCTCAGTCCATATGAAGTTGCTGGAAATATTACTTTGTGTATAGAACTTAAGAATCTGTCCCAAGAGAGTTAAAGATATTTAAAGCTGGACTTTGCCCCGAAACGCAATCTTGGGTTGTTTCGGGGATGAACTTTATCATTTTGAGCTTAATGAAAGATTATACTAGAATGATGAACAAATGGGGCAAATCTTGTGTAGAAATACTTACGATAAATGTGTCATTTCAAAGATTTTTCATTGAATTGCTTCGATCGGAGCCGGTGATATGATTTTGGAAAGGTGTCTAAATGAAGAATGTGACGTCACTTCCGAATCATAGCATTCAAAATAAGTAGCGTTTAATTACTTCCACCATTCATAATATCACGGTGGTCTAGCGGTAGAATGCTCGCTTAGCACGCGGGGGGCCGGGTTCGAATCCCGCATTCGCCTTTTTATTTTTTTTAACTAAATGATTGTTCTTTGACATTACGCAGATAATTTTTTTTTTATTTACATAAACTTTATATTAGAGCTTGAAAATGTAAAAACAATATATGTCAACATATTGCGTTTTGGAGCGATGTGCAGGTTTAATGTATTCAAGCACATTCGAATGTGAACGTTTCTTACCTCCTCAGTAAAAATATTTGTGCTTTTTCCATCACATTGTAACAGTGGCGCATCGTGCATATTTTCAGGAGGTCAAATTTTTTATATAGTTTAAAGAGAACCGTCTTTTGATTTTATC